GGAGTGGCTTCGTAAGAAGCATTTCAAGGTCCTGGAGTGACCTAGCTAGTCTCCAGATCTCAACCCCACAGAAAACCTTTGGAGGGAGTTGAAAGACTGTGTTGCCCAGCGACAGCCCCAAAACTACACTGCTCTAGAGGAGATCTGCATGGAGGAATGGGCCAACATACCAGCAACAGTGTGTGCCAACCTTGTGAAGACTTACAAGAAACGTTTGACCTTTGGCATTGCCAACAACGGATATATAACAAAGTATTGAGATGAAGTTTTCATATTGACCAAATACTTATTTTCCACCATAATTTGCAAATAAATTCTTTCCAAATCAGCCAATGTGATTGTCTGGATTTTTTTTCTCATTTTGTCTCTCATAGTTGAGCTCTACCTACGATGCCAATTACAGGCCTCTCTCATCTTTTTAAATGGGAGAACTTGCACAATTGGTGGCTGACTAAATACTTTTTTGCCCCACTATATATATATATATATATATATATATATATATATCACCATTTGTGTACGCTATAACTTTCATGTAAACCAGTTAATTTACATGTATTGGGATTTTTTTAGACCAAAGACATGTAGCGGAATACACTTTGGCCTAAATTTATGATGAAATTTGTTTTACATTTTTTTACTGGACATGTTTAATAGCAAAAAGTCAAAAATATATATTTGTTTATAGCGCAAAAAATAAAATTGCAGAGGCAATCAAATACCACCGAATGAAAGCTCCGTTTGTGGGAGAAAAAGGACACAAATTTCATTTGGGTGCAGTGTTGCATGACCGCGCAATTGTCAGTTAAAGTAATGCAGCGCTGTATTGCAAAAAATGTCCTGGTTAGGAAGGGGGGTAAATCCTCTGAAGGGCAAGTGGATAGTGGGCATGTTAGATATTTGGCGCACTTCTAATCAATACACTTTTTTGTTTCAGAACCCATTTTTTTTTTTTCATCCGCAGAGGTGCGCAAAAACAAAAATCTGATAAGTGTACAAAAAAGGTGCAAGTGCAAAATCACAACACAAAAAAGTGCAATTAGGGGTGTGCTTTTAGTCCACCCCCCAAAGGGGTAGGATCTCTACCCTGATCCCCTGGGGTGCAAGTCTCCTGACAGGGACAAAAGTTTTCCAGCATGGTCCACCTAGCCAAAAGGCCTGGACCTTGTTATCAGCCGAAGCTGACCACCAAGTACTTGGTCAAGGGGCTCTTCCGAAGAGAGACCCCCCAAGGATCAGTGGAGGAAGGAACCTAATGGCCACACATCCTCCCCCTAGATGTCAGGGCAGGCCCAAGGACCCACACCCTCCATCCAGTGAGGAAAAAAACACACACAAAAGTGACAAAGTGACAAACAGTGGAGAAAAAAATAAATAAATAAGTGGTCATGCAACTATGCACTGGCTAGGCCCTGAGGCCTGTAGCAAAAAATTGCCCTGGACTTGGCCAAACGGCCTAGCCATAAAAGGCGCACTACAGAGTGTTTAGAACAGTTTAGAAAAGTGTTTAGAACAGTGACCATGTGCACTTTTCACACGTGGGATCCCATCCGCATGTGTTACTAAGAGCACCCTTGTGGCGACCACTCCCAGGGGGCACTGCTTTGCAGACTCTCTGCCTCCCCAGCCCCTGGCTGAACAAGGTAGACCCATTCAAATCAGGAGGAATTGGGCCCCTCCAGTTTTCCCGGGGGAATTACTCCCGGGCCCCAGCAGCCTGTAGGCACCTCAGTTTCTCTTCCAGCTGATACTAACTTTCAAAGCCCCCATCATACCAGCAGGGCTACTATACAGCCAGCCATCCTCGCCAAAAGGCAAGAATGATGGCGGATCACTTCTAGTGGACACTGATAAGAACAGATATTACACATTATTGATCTTAGCCAAAAGGCCGAGAAGCGATATTGTGGCAGAATTTCTCTACTTTTTACCAAAATATGTAACACTGCAGAAGGGACATGCTCTATGATGGAACTCCTGTCACCCTGACTGGTTGATTCAGTCAGAGAACCGCTTCCTCGCCACTGGGACACAGGACCAAGGTATTATAGCTGGGCATTGCACCCAAGACTAGACGAGACTAGCTTCGATGCCAAACAAGAACTCTTTATTGAACAGAAAACAGGTTTTTATACACTCCAGAAATAGGGCCCATCCCCTAATGAACAATAAAACAAATATTACACTTTGGGATAAACATCCCACACTGATTTGATAAGGAGGTGAAGTTGACATCAGTTTAATCCTATCAAGTAGGCACCTTCAGAAGGACTTGCCAACAAAAAAATAGGTGACTCAATTAACAATGGGAATGCACACCTAGGAGGCACACAAGGGGAGAAGATAGTAAACACATAACACCTTAATAAACAGATTAGAGCAAGAGTCCTCAGCTCAGCATGAGGTTGTTTTGCTGATTATATCCGCATCTTCTTACAGTCTCTGAGTCTGGGGGGACACGGAGGGGGGGGTTTAAGCAGCCAATGCTAGTTTTGGCACAGAGACCTGAATATTGGTCCTCCAGTTCCCAGAGTCTGTGTGTTTTGGGTAGACATGGACTTGAATCCAATGTAAACTATTCCAAAGGTCCCCCCAGGCACACTCTTCAGATACCAGGACCATGGTCAGTAGGCAAGAGGCTAGCCTGCTGTCCCTTCCAAAAGCCCCTGTCCCAGTTGAGTTTGTCACATGCTCTTTTTAGATATTCTCACACCCCCTAAAAATACTCCAGCAGACAGAGAACTAATAGATTCTGATCTCACACTTGCTAAACTCCTAGTGAAGATGGACTCTCAGAGGATGTCTCTAAAATAAATGTACCTTAACCTTACTTCCTCAACTAAAGGAAGCATTTACATCAGGTGCCTGCCCCCTATCATTAATGTATTAAGATATTATAGTGGTCACTCTGAAACTTGACAAATAGCCCGCTAAAACGGACTCCTACTAGCCCATATTTTGCCCATAATAATACTGACCATGGAAGTTAAAATATGTGATAAATCTTGAGCTCTTTGTCAAATTGAGTTTATCACCCAAAGGTTCATAGCTATAAACATACAAAGTGCACCTTACTTTACAATCCATGTTGCAGAATATGAAAAACAGAGCAACACTCACACTTTAAATGTGAGAGGTGCTGCGAACAACGAGTTGGGCTCAAGATTTATCAAATGGGTTCAGGTCATATACTTCTCTCCTAAGACTAGAATACTCATGAATAATTCTTTTTCCATTCCTTTTCCTGCTTGATAGAAGTAACCAGCAAGGCTGCCCACTCTAACCCTTAATGGTCCCATTGGCAACTGACCTCTTCCAGGGGCTATCAGGCAGCACCCACCCAATGCATGATTTACCAGATACGATGCAAAGGACAAAATACTATATGCAAATGGTACCCTTTATCACCTAGGAGACACAAGAACCTCGCTGTAGAACTAATAGCCACAGTAAAAAATGTTGGTAGATGTTCAGATCTGACAACAAACGTGGATAAATCAACATTGTTAGTACTAGACCCCATCCAACACCCAGTTCCAGCTGTGCACAGAAAATGCAGGTCCCATAGATTGCAAAAACTTAATCTCCTCTCCGTACTTTTTAAGTTTAAACAAATCTAAAGATGTGACCTGGTTACCTATGAGTATTGTCGTCGAAAGTGTGAACCTTATAAAAACGCTGTCTGGCTCAACTCATATACAGTGAAGGAAATAAGTATTTGATCCCCTGCTGATTTTGAATGTTCGCCCACTCACAAAGAAATGATCATTTTATAAATTGAATGTTAGATGTATTGTAACACTGAGAGACAGAATAGCAACAAAAAATTCAAAAGAAATGCATGTCTAACAAATTATGCACTGATTTGCATGATCATGAAATAAGTATTTGATCCCCTATCATTCAGCAGGATTTCTGGCTACCAGGTGTCTTTCATACAGGTAACAAGCTGAGATTAGAAGCAGTCTCTTAAAGGGAGTGCTGCTAATCTCATTTTGTTACCTGTCTAAAAGACACCTGTCTACAGGAGCAATCAAATAATCAGATAAGGAATGAAATCCTGCAGTGCCCACAAGGTCCCTCTGCTCAAGAAAGCACATGTCCAGGCCCATCTGAAGTTTGCCACTGAACATCTGAATGATGCAGAGGAGGACTGGTTGAAAGTGTTGTGGTCAGATGAGACCAAAATCAAGCTCTTTGGCATCAACTTAACTCGCCGTGTTGTGAGGAGGAGGAATGCTGCCTATGACCCCAAGAACATCATCCCAAGTGTCAAACATGGTGGTGGAAACATTCTGCTTTGGGGGGTGTTTTTCTGCTAAGGAGACAAGACAACTGCACCGCATCAAAGGGACGATGGATGGGGCAATGTACCGTCAAATCTTGGGTGAGAACCTTCTTCCCTCAGCCAGGGCATTGAAAATGGGTCGTGGATGGGTGTTCCAGCATGACAATGGCTCAAAACACATGGCCAAGGCAACAAAGGAGTGGCTCAAGAAGAACACATTAAGGTCCTGGAGTGGCCAAGCCAGTCTCCAGACCTTAATCTGATTGAAAATCTGTGGAGGAAGCTGAAAGTTTGAGTTGCAAACGTCAGCCACCAAACCTTAATGAATTGGAGAGGATCTGCTAAGAGGAGTGGGCCAAAATCTCTCCTGAGATGTGTGTAAACCTGGTGGCCAACTATAGGAAACGTCTGACCTCTGTGATTGCCAACAAGGGATTTGCCACCAAGTACTAAGTCATGTTTTGTGAAGGGGATCAAATACTTATTTCCCTCATGAACATGCAAATCCGTGCATAATTTGTTACACACGCATTTCTTTTGAAATTTTTTTTGCTATTCTTGTCTCTCAGTGTTACAATACACCTACCATTCGATTTTTAGACTGATCATTTCTTTGTGAGTGGGCAAACATTCAAAATCAGCAGGCGATCAAATACTTAACGTTTTTTTCGCTCCATAAGACGCACTTTTTTCCCCCCAAAAAAGGGGGGAAAATTTCAGTGCGTCTTATGGAGCGAATATGGAGAATATGGCTGCTCAGCTCTTCTCTGCAGGAAGACCTTACCTGTTCCTCGGTCCAGCTCTCTGCAGTCTTCCCACGCCGGCATCTTTAGTGTGGGCACCCGGCTGTGACAGCCGGGTGTCCACTGCGCATGCGCGAGAAGCGCTGTGCTTTGTGAATGGTCCGGCATCTTCTGGGACACATGACAGGTCCCAGAAGACACCGGGCCTTTCACAAAGCGCAGCGCTTCTCATGCCCGCACTCTGCGGAAGTGGAGCAGGTACCTGTCAAATTCAGGTACCCGCTCCCCCTCCCTCCCCTAAGGTCCGCAGTCTCTTGGTCATCCCCTGTACTGTCTGCAGTCTCTTGGTCATCCCCTGTACTGTCTGCAGTCTCTTGGTCATCTCTGTACTGTCTGCAGTCTCTTGGTCATCCCTGTACTGTCTGCAGTCTCTGGTCATCCCTTCTACTGTCTGCAGTCTCTTGGTCATCTCCTGTAGTATGTCCGCAGTCTCTGGTCATCTCCTGTACTATGTATGCAGTCTCTGGTCATCTCCTATAGTATGTCCGCAGTCTCTGGTCATCTCCTGTACAGTGACCGCAGTCTCTGGTCATCTCCTATTCTGTGTCCGCAGTCTCTGGTCATCTCCTGTACCGTGTCCGCAGTCTCTGGTCATCTTCTGTACCGTGTCCGCAGTCTCTGGTCATCTCCTGCACTATGTCCGCAGTCTCTGGTCATCTCTTGTACTATGTCTGCAGTCTCTGGTCATCCCCTGTACTGTGTCCACAGTCTCTGGTCATCTCCTGTAGTATGTCCGCAGTCTCTGATCATCTCCTGTACTATGTCCGCAGTCTCTGTTCATCTTCTGTACTGTGTCTGCAGTCTCTGGTCATGTCCTGTACTATGTCCGCAGTCTCTGGTCAGTTCCTGTAGTATGTCTGCAGTCTCTGCTCATCTCCTGTACTGTGTCTGCAGTCCATTGGTTCAGATTTTTTTTTTCTTGTTTTTCTACTCTAAAACCTAGGTGCGTCTTATGGTCAGGTGCGTCTTATGGAGCGAAAAATACGATATTTCCTTCACTGTATTACCCATAACAGTCCCATTTGGATTGCCAAGAAACAGTTCCACAAGATAGGTGCACTATTCTGCAATCTGTAAGGGAAAACCTCCCTGAATTAAGCCTAAAATAGTTATTCTCCAATAGGAGAATACCCTACCCTTGGTTGTACTGTCTTGCAGCACATCTTCAGCATTTAAGGATGGCGTTTCTCTCCCCAAATTTATCATAAGATCTGGTCACATATGAAAACAATCCTCAACTACTAAGGCTTTAATGATTATACTCCTATATGGGACAATTATTATCACACTGAATTGATTCATTTGTAGAGTTCAGACTTGGCATTATTTGACATGGCATTACTTGTCCTTCTTATACTGTGTTATTACGCCTAAATCATTCCAACAACTTCAAATTGCATCCTCTCTCCCAAGATCTATGTTTTTTGGTATCCTCAAAAAACATATCATTAAAAGTGAACTAACCTTTGATATGCACAGTTAATGATATCAAACATAACTTGCTTGTATCAGACAAGTTTTGGGCACCTCCAAAACATGTGGACAAAACTCTACAGAAATGGCACAAGATTACTTCACTCTCAAAACTATAACCCATTATTGAATGTATTTCACATCTGTTCATATTCTGATCACCTTAAGTATTTTCACCTAATATTGCATAACAGGTAATGTAATATGCCTGTAGTAAGTTGATTGTAAACCACATTTCAACTCTGCTAAACATTGAATGTCACTATTTTGTTTTGTATCTGTTTTTTTTTCTGTACCTCAAAATGTGGAAGACCGAAGGGCTCTGTTCACAATAAATTTTTCTTGAAATACAAAGAAAATCAATCAATTGCCCAAAGTCTGAAAATAAATGTAACATTTGTTGTAAAACAAATATGGCGAATGTTTCTGACACTTAGATTTGCCGCTGAAGAATAGCAGTTAAAGAGATTTTATTGGATGAAGATGTGAATGCGTACAGAAAACAGGCTATCTTCTGACAGGCAAAAGCATTGATTAATATTTAGTGCTTTTTAAATATTGCACTATATAAATGGTGCACTGGAGTAGAAGAAAATATTAAAGTTTTAGGAAGTATTCAGAAACTTGTGTAGGCTCAGCCCACTGGCCTGTTTCTGTCATGGCGTTTGAGGCGCATTTGTTTCATGCAGTATCCTGAGAGCACTCACATGCAGCTGGGAACATCCTATATCTGGAGAATCTCTGAGGAGAATTTGGCAGCCCTGGTGGACAAGCATTAATACCCCAGGGATTGCTGCATATAGGTTGCGGCTCTATTAATCATGTGGTTTGTTACAGCGAGGTCTATGATTTATATTTTTGCATTGTTCTACTCAGAAGATTTTAGGTCCTCGACCTGCTGGGATCTCATGAGTGTCTCCAGATAAATAACAATACCTCAGATGGGTTCCTATAGAATATTCTCAGTAAAATACAGAAACTGGTTTACTAGATAAAATAAATACCGGTAAGTCACAGATAAACTTTGAATATACAGTTAGATCATGTGTCCCCAAAACATTAATTTACATGTGCAATCGTACCTTGGTGTTCAGAGTGTACAGTGATGTCCCAGTTTTCTGTGAACATCCAAATAATGTTGCTTTTATACCTCCTGTCCTATGAGGTGTACCACACTATGCACATAGAAAACATGCAAGTACCAAGATAAAAAAACTATATAAAAATGGTATGATTTAAAGAAAACTTTGTATGTGTTACTGTCATAAGGAAAATTCATCGCAGGTATAATCATATGAGAATAGCCCTACACATACAGTTTTCTAATGATTTTTCAAAATTCATGTTTTAAAAATAAGGCCTCCGTTAATAATAACCCTGCACATTTTGTTTAAAGAGAAATTAAACCCAAAAGCGAACATTTATTACATTGCAGCTTTTTTAGGCTTTCTTTCTTCTGTTTTCATCTGGTGATCCAGCCAGCAAGTCTGTTGTTCTTTAAAAGCACAAGCTCTCCAGCAGAATTTATCAGTTTACATAGATTGGGGCAAATCATTTAACACTGGCAGGGGTGCTTAAGTGATCAGTTTTTATTGTATTTATTCATGCAAAAGCCTTATCACAAAAGGAAAAAACTGTGTGCTATAACTGATTATAAAGCATGAGCTGGAGTCTGGCTTCAATTTGTTAGTGTAATTAAATCTGCTAATACATTTAACATTACCCTCCACCCCAGACTGACAATGCTGTTGTCTGCTGTGACTCCTGTGCTCACTCATCCAGAGTGGTGTGTTACTGGCCACATCACCAGGTGAAAACAGAGGGAATAAAGCCAAAGAAAAGAAAGCTAATGCAGCCACCATGTCTAATGATTGCAATAATACTGATTTAATCTCTACATGGTATGCATATCTAAAATGACAAGAGCACTTAGATAGTTCCAAAACCTAGTGAGAAAAACATTTTTATTTCAGGTATGCATGAACGTGAACGTCCATCTAATCCATATGTTCATTGTGGCTTCTGCATAAGACTTCATACACAAATCAATTCTGTGAGCATATTTGTCTGGGGATCATGCCCACAGCAACTTTCTAACTAAAGCAGTATCCTTGTTTGGTGGAGAAGGAATGAGGAGAGAGCTTGTCTTGGAAAAAGAAAATAGGGCTGTGAAAAAATGATCACAGCCTGCCATACCACCAGCTACCATTAGAGGGAAACGTTCCCGAATTTTAGCTGGCTGGACTCACACAGTAACAAATCTTACATACAATCTGGTTGGTGGTGGGGGGAGGTTGTGGAGCAGCTAGATGTTTATCATACATTTCTTAGATTTTTCAAGCTATCCCATGAGCCTATGGCAGATACAAAAGCTTTCACACATGGACACTAATCTGTATACAATCAGATTGGCCATCCCATTATCTATCAGCCAGTACTGCAATTACATGAAACACAAGGGTGCAGCCACATATTTCAAACTCACACAGATTAGCAATAAATTTACACCCAAGCAATGGAATGCTAGTTAAAGGAGAAAGAGAGACAAGAAACCATTGTAAAAGGCATGTTATGTTTTTCAGTACATTTTTTGCATGGGGCCAAAATCATGTGACTCTGTCCCAAAAAAGCTCATGTACTTTTTTGAACATCAAACTTGAAGCAATGCTCAGGTGTGAATAGGATACAATAGCACTTCTTGAAAGCTCTTCTAGAAAAGCACTATAAATCGTTCAGGTGTGAACTGAGCCCAGAGAAAAGATGTGGAAAGGACTCTTTCCACTCTGGCCAATCACCTTTGGAGGTGATACTTTGCGTGGTGCAAGGAAAGTTCTTGCTTTTAGAAGTAGCTATAAGCTATATGGATCAGCTGGTTCTGATGCCTGGGTCAGAGTTTGGATTCCCAGATCTCAGCAAATCCTAACACCATATCTTTGCCATAAGCAGGGAACATAAAATAGTTTGATTAGTCCCTAGGTGATACTATAAGGCCAAGACATACCATTTTGCATCCACAGGCAGCTCATAGCTTGAACTATCAGAAGGAATAACTCAAATGTACCCACAGCTAATATCTTGCCTAGGAAACTGAGATGATACTATATCTTATCCAAAAAACTGAGTAGTAATCCCATACAGTATGGAGTCTCAATTTGTAAAGACCTCTCCCTCCTTGCTTAGTTGCAGTTGCAAGGTCTGTGAGGATTCTTTTATGGTTTGTGAGGAGATGATTAAAAGAGAAGTATGGACTTTGAAAGAAAATAAATGCTTATACTCACCTAGATGGATGCAACATCAATCTGATGCTGAATTTTTCCCCTGCGGGCTCGGCAGTGAGAACTGAGCAATCAAACACTGCTGATTGATCAGTTCTCTCTTCCAGTCTGAACAGAGAGCCATGACTGTCAGTCTCCAGCTCTCTGCTTTGCCTCTTCAGCGCTCACTAAGCCCCGAGAGGCTGAGCTAGGTACCAGTCCAGGATTCTGGGTGAATTTCAACCATATGGTCAGGATCTTTTCACAATATGGACCAATGAGAGATGTCAGCTGGCAGCAGACTTTAGCCTGCTGTCGGAATAAACTGCACTCCTTGACCTATTGCACTCCTGTGATCTATTGGAGAAGTAAAGCCAAAAAAAACTTTGGCTATACTTCTTACTTCTCCTTTAACTTTATCTGTAGCCACAAAACAACAAGGTCCTGTCAGAAACTTTTTAGCAGCAAGTGGTATTTCAAGTCTGCAGACCTATTCAGATGACATCACATTTCCATACACTACAGAACGCTGATTTAATATTATAATAGGATTTAGAAGTTCTTGTTGTATCCATGCCAGATCATGCTCATATTTGTTAGTAAATTAGACCAGTTTCTATTGTCTGAACACTGTTCACTTGGAACGATAAAGCACAAAAAAGCCATAACATGGCATTGAAGAATTCCTAGAATACAAATCATACCCTTTCCACAGGAGATCAATTCAAGTCCCATAGCTGACACACTACATGCAGTACTAAGCAACATTTGCTAAAGGTTACTGTAGCGCTGTTGTCTGAAGGGGCCATTGACAATTGACAGGTTCTCCCACAATAGTGCAGAGGCTGCCAGACACAGATCCAAGCACACACAAGTATAGGATTTCTTTTTATGGATCTAATGCAGAAAACTTAAATATGAGAGGGTTCTGGGTGCAGGATACTCCAAAATGTCAGGGGAAATTAGCAGGATAACAAACTTTGCTGATCCTCCTGCGGCTCCTCTTGCAGCGCAGCTGATTTCTGTTCCTCCCTCCTGCCAGCTGCGCCACAGCTCTGCGTCCCCCCCCATCCTCGCCATTCTGATCACCC